ACCTCCCAAACCCAGGCTGGACTCAGCCGTCCATCCCAAGGGGCAGCAGGAAGCATCCTCCAGAAACATCCCCGAAAGCCAAAAAAACAGTTGCCAGAATTGCACCCATCACTTCCTGCTCTCCTCAGCATCTCCCATTCCAGCATGGACCATCTGCACCATCACCCTGCCGAGGTCCTGGGTGACTCTGCCGGGCTGGGAGCACCCCAACACTCCCACTCAGGGCTGCGGTTGCCCACCAGCGTAGGAGCAGGAACTCGGGTTTTGGGTTCTTTACAAAAAAAAACAAACCACCCAAACCCTCACCGTTTGCTCAGCAGCAGAAAGCAAACTTTCTTTTTCATTTCTTTCAGGATGTGAAAGGAGAGAACTGCTGGACTGCGAGATGCAGGTCCCACAGCTTCCCTACGGCAGGGACCACAGGGCACTGCGTGGGCACCCTCCCTGCCAGCATCACCATCACCCACTGGTGACACACCAGCCCTGCCCAGCCCTTTTACAGACAAAACTGCTACAGTTTGGGGTGTTTTCTTTCCAGGCAGGGCCTGTGCAAACGGGTACCCTGTGCTGATCATCCCTCCTTCAGCTGGGGACAGCCCACAAGGCAGAAGAGCAGCTGGGGACAGGAGTCCCCGTGTCACGGCATCTCTGTGACACTGGTGGCAGTTCCTCGGCTGCAGCTCAGGAAATGGCACAACGGCAGGGACCAGCCGCAGGCTCGGGGGCATCTGCTCCCTCTAAATGAAGCAGAAACACCGTTTAACGGAGCCATTTGCCCATTTCCAAGGACCCGCTGCCGCCGCTGGGAGCAGGAGCAGATCCGCCGTAATAAAAAGCCTTTTCTAACACTTATCTCTTAACGCCGCAGGCAAGAACTATCATTCCCTAAGAGGAAAATCCATTTGTCCAGGATTACACGCCACAGAAAATGATTATACAGCTGCAGAGGACAGACTTTCCCAAGCGAAGCCACCACCCCTGTGGGACGCGTCCTGCTCCGACACGATCCCGGGGGGATGCACAGGAATCGCTCATGGACAGCTGGATCCGGACACCAGCGCGCCCTGTGACAGCTGCCCCGTGTCCCCTGCTCTTCCTAGCAAGGAAAAAAAACCCTAAAACAGAGCACCAAGGGTGGATCCTCCAAGGTCCCGCAGGTTTCTGAGCTGTGTCGTGACACGTATCGTGACAAGAAGCAATCAGTGATTTCTGTGGCTGGTGCTGAGCGGGCACAGAAGGCTCTGCTCCATCCCTGGCCGCATCCAGTCGCTCTAAGTGTAAAGTGAAAAGCCACTCCGGCCATCACAGCAAAGAGTATGGAGTCCAGGAAAGCCCCAGCCTGATGGCACTGCCATCGGTGTCACCGAGCCGGAGGGACCAAGGCTGTGGTCTGACCCGGCACACGAGCATCAAGGCTCTCCCGTGGAAATCACCCACAACCTCCGCCCCCGCGTTTTCCCATCGTTTGGGCTGGTGTTGAAATTATTCCAGAAAATTATCCACTATTTAAGCGTAACGTCTGGCAAACACCCTGCTCTCCTGAACTTCTCCGCCTGTGACCGGCAGCACCCAACCGGCTCGGCGGGGAGTTCTGCCGGTCTCTCCTGCGAGGCTGTAAATCACATTTTTGGCACGACGAGGAAGAGGATGGGAGTTGTTTTTGGGAGCGGCTGCTCTGCCCCAGGCAGCGGGCAGAGCCCCACACCGCCAAAGCCATGTGCAGGCACCACGCCACGACCAAACCCTGCCAGAGACACTCCTCCATCATGGGAGCGGCACTGACACACGCTCTCCCAGAGGGGACAGAACCGGGACAAAAAGCCAAGGGGGTGAAACAGAATCATAGAATGGTTTGGGTTGGAAGGGACCTCAAGGATCATCTAGTTCCAACCCCCTGCCCTGGGCAGGAACACCTCCCACCAGAGCAGGTTGCTCAAATAGCCATCCAGCCTGGCCTTGAACCCCTCCAGTGATGGGGCATCCACAACTTCCCTGGGCAACCTGGGCCAGTGTCTCACCACGCTCATAGTAAAAAATTTCTTCCTGAGATCTAATCTGAATCTTTTTTCTTCCAATTTAAAACCGTTTCCCCTTGTCCTATCATTACCCTTCCTGGCAAAGAGTCCCCCCCCAGCTCTTCTATAGGCACCCTTCAGGTATTGAAAGGCCGCTATAAGGTCTCCCCGGAGCCTTCTCTTCTCCAGGCTGAACAATCCCAGCTCCCTCAGCCTGTCTTCATAGGAGAGGTGCTCCATCCCTCTGATCATCTTCATGGCCCTCCGCTGC